GGCAAATGGGGTACTAATACTCAATACTAACAATCCCCTCGCCCCTATACTCAGTATTCGGGCTGCAGAAACTTTTAAACTACTCTTATGGTGAATAGATAGAATCTAGTTAAAAGATAAAATGAATAGGGAACAAAGCCAAAGTGCGCTGGCAAACAACATGCAGTATCCAATTACAAATCAAAATAGTCCAACAGATAGAGAGCTACATAAACATTTATCAACGGTCAAAAAAAATCTCAACGGGCAAAACCCACAAACCTGGTTTTAGCAAAACGCTTTTCCGAAACCTCCGGTAGAGAGACAGGTGGGTTTTATTTTCTGTGGGCAAAATATCACAGACATACTCTCACACCGTCACGTAACACATACAGGAACAATTGTAATGGAGACTGAATTTCCTAATAGCTTTTATCTTTACATAGTATAAAATAAAGTCGTCGACACTGTCTGTTCGCATATCTTTTAAATTACGCAACGGATTTTAATGCTATTTTCAGCTATAGATAGAGTGACTCAATAGGTTACATATATAATACTTGTGTGTTATAGTTTATATAGTATAAGGTGAGAAATAAAAAAAAATTGAATCCATCTGTGCGAAGCCGGGGTGGATCACTTGTTATATAATATATAATTCCTAATAACTAAGATATTCTCAAAATGCATATAATCATATATATTCTTTCACCTATTAATAGATTAGATATAATAGATATTCTACGCAGGTAGAGCCCGTTTCACTTTCTCTATCCACCCAAAGGAGTCTGGAAGAGATTGTTTAGCGATAAGACCTCCTTAGGTATCAGTTAATGTAAATTATTTTTTTTATTTTTTATTCTGTATTTGGTGTAATAAAAAGTATAAATAAAATAAATAAATACTTTATATATGTCACCTTACTATCTACGATTCTTATCTACTGTTACCATTAAAAGATTTATCCATCAAATAAACTGATTTACAACATATTTTACAACATACATTTTTATAACAGTTTAAAAGTAGTAATATATATTTATACGCTCATAACTTTGTGAGTGTTGTATATATTATATAATATAAATTTACTGTCTCTACCTGAACAGCACTATTGACGTCAGAAAATTCTGGTACACCTCTCATGAGTTGCTATTTTATTTCATACCTATTTTCTACCATAACATACCCTACAAAGCAATCTGCTTTGTGACTAAATTGTAGGTACCTATTCAGATGATATTCCACAAAATATACTTTGGTAAAGCGTTAAGATGTAGTCAGATCCATTATTAATATAGAAATAAATTATTGTTGTTTCCAAGAAGAGTAGCGAATGTAGGTTGTAAATTCAGAGTCTATTTTCAGTTAATATGTAATATTTTGATATTAAATAAATAAATATCTCTGGACAATTAAAACTATCCATCTAGTCTACGGTAAGCAGAGTTTTTGTTATACTAGTACCTATAACTAATATAAATACGTAAATACTTTTTTTGTAAATACATAGAAAAAATCCAGACCGATGCAAACAATCATACTCATGAATACAATTGTTTGCACCTTGCGATGTGTTCAACTGCTAGACTACCGAAGGCATCAAAATTATTTATATTTATTTATAACTTAGTGGTTATAAGATGAAATAAATAAATAATATCATGACTACGGTGTCATATGTGCCGCTAGCCGTCGTCGTGTCTATCGGTCTGTCACGCGCTATCAGGTGAAGTCAGCTTTTTACTTTTTGTTCATTTCCAATCGCTACCGAACAAATTTTTAACCGTAGTTTTTGTGAAGCTAACATTTTTTCTAGAAATATTGAACCTTCATTATATTTTACATCTCCTTATATCTATGACATATATATATATATATAAAACTATAGAAATTTGTACTAATATTATAAAGAATAAAGAAAGAGCGGATTTTATGTGCTTTCAGACTTTACCTGAAGCATCTATGCATTGCTAGGAAATATTAAAAGACAAATTTAACAGACACAGTCACGAGGGTTTAAAAAAGAGATCACGTGGAGATCGATCGAGTAGATATAGTACTAGAAAATATGGTCTGTTTTCTAGTTCTATGTCGACTCATAAATATATATCAACTACATATTCTATTGAAATATGTGTTGCGGAATTCCACTTCATTACCCAATGGATATTATTTTGTTTAATTCCGCTACCACTAACATGTGTGAGACCACAAATATTCAGTGCGGAAACCTGACCACCGCTACTGGAAACGTTACGAGCATTATTGAGTGTACGAGGCATCGTCGGGCATTGAGTAGAGCTTGTAATCCCAATGTTGTTTAGTTGCCGCAAAATAATATAAATCTGGGGCGGCTGGTGTAAAATACTCTTTTTTTGATATTAGAACTGTGTCTGTAAATAAGATGCTGATTTAATTTAATTCGAAGGACCTAGCATAATTATGAGTATTAAGGAAAATATAGGGAATTAGGAGAAGAGGCGGAGCGACGTCCAGTGACCTTGAATTTACTGCTGGTCTTCAGCAGCGAACTGATGGATCTCTTGCTATTCAAGCAAGGTAAATATCTGGCCGATAGTCACCGAAACACTCTGTGCACTTATTTGTCCGTAAAGTTAATATACCACTTATATACCAGTATGCACTATATATAAGATGGCGTCCCCACGCGGTGGTTTTGCAACTGCAGTGGTTAGCGGAGCGAAATTAATAATTATAAATGTGGTTAGAATCCGGCACAGAATCCGGCAAATCAAATGACGATTGATCGTCTGACATGACATTGTGTAATCATCGTTATCATCATCATCATCTGCTTCATCTTTATCCCATTTATTTGGCGTCGGCGTAATATGTTTTACATTGGGTATTGAGACCACTAGTCTTTAACTATTCAGATACTGCTATCGCCCTACTCCACCAACATTATATAATTAGGTCCATGCTCTTTTTCAGACTAATTAAAATTTTAAGCATGCTGAATACAAATAAAAGTTGAAGTGCAATGAGCAGGTACAATGTGGAAAGTAGTTTCGCTTGAACACAAAATGTCGCCGTAAAAGTTTCACTTGGAAACCATACAGTGTAATTACTAACACAAAAACGTTAACTGAAGTGGAAGTAATAAAATAGAATAGAATAAATTGAAATATGTATGAAATATGTATTCTCTGATCTTCATTACGTTCCTATTATATTCTAATTTTTAATGATAAATATTCTATTAGGTAGCTTATTAATTATGTTTTTAGAAGCTATAAAAAAACAACAAACAAGATCACGGATTACCTTATGGAAAGTGATTTCCGGCGCCCATAAGCACCCATAATATCAGGGGAATTACAAGTGCGTTGCAGGCCTTTCAATAAAGAATAAGCACTTGTCTTGAAGGTTTTTTTTGTTTTTCGGACTACTGTACTACTAATGCTGTTGGCCGCAGCTGGCCTTTGCAGCTTCACCGGAGAATAATGGGCGAGTGCATATGGCACTCCAAACCCGCGGAAGGACTTATGGGAGTAACTTAAGGTCAACTCCCGCCTTTAATATCTTACGTTATTTGTATGGCAAACAAGCTGACGGACAACCTGATGGTAAATGATAAAAGTCGCCTATATTCAGGAACATATAAACATCACGTTATCCGGTTACTATATAACATCAGTGATACAATTAAGATGTCATGCCTCTTATCCTGTAATTCCACTATCTAATCGTAACCTATAAGTGAAATATGAAATAATGTATTTGCGAAATATTAGTATAGTATTATAATTCATTTATTTTCATTTGTTTTTATTTAAATTGTATACAATGCTCTGGAGATGGGCGCAAATAACTGCAACACAGTTTTTTTTGTAAACTAATGTAGTTGTTTACGTTTAATATGTTATTGTTATAACTTTGTTTTTGGTTTAAATAAATTCTTTAAATTCTTCTTCTTTAATTAATATGATCTTACATGAAATTGATTGATCAGCAATATTTACCATAAAGGCATGCAAATTACATGTAGGTGTTTGTGTTACTTAAATATTCTTGGACACTGTAAAAATTACCAAGTGACAGCCAATTCTTTAATTTGCGTTTGAATAACGTATGAGATCCCAGTTCTTTAATCCCTCTTGGAAGATTATATGATAGATGAAATACAGTAAGCTATCTGTAGGTGTGATAACATAGTAGGTACTCTAAAATAGCAACGGATGTTCATGTATAATAGCAATGGCTACCATTTTCCATTAGGTAAGCCGTCAGTTTATTTGCCCTTTCATTTTGACGACCTCGGTGGTCTAGATGTCAAGCACACCTCTTTACGACCGATGGTCGCGGGTTCGATTCCTCGCACGGTACAAACATTTGTATTCATGAATATGATTGTTTGTGTCGGTCTGGGTGTTTTCTATGTTAATATGTATGTATTTACAAAAAAAAATATCTATGTATATGTATCAGTTATCTAGTACCCATAACACAAGCTCTAGCTAGCTTAACTTGGATCTAGATGGCGCTGTGTGAATTGTCCTGAGATTATTATTATTATTATTATTTAAAAATAAAAGAAATCACTGATCTAAATTTGTACCAATTTAACAAGAGCCAATTTCTTACAAATAACCAAAGCCTCCAAGATTATATTATTTGGAAATAAGTATAAACAAGAATGATAAATAGCTAATTATTGAATTGAGAAGAGCACGTTGAATTCCAATGAAGTTTCCTTGTTTTTATTTTAATAATTTAGACATTATATTTCAATACAACTTTGGGGGCTGATTTCATTATGTTTCTGAAACGAACCTTTATATTTTCCTCATTTACAGTCTCCTTAAATTTAGATAACTCATTATATACCAGATAAATTAGATTAATTGTACTACACTATAATACTGTTTAAATAGACTATGGTAAATTTTATATAACTAATAATACACATGCACATGGCGGGCCTAACACCTTATTATGATTACTTACTGCCAGAATTACAGTGAAATAAAGAAAATACTGTTATACATATATGTTCTTTATTATGGATCCTTCAAAGCACGAAATAAAACACAATAATTTCTATATTACTTAAAAGCCTTAAAGACTTACACACAGTGATACTTTTATCAAAACAGCGATTCAACTACAATCGATGCATTTAATAATATTCTTTTTCACCGATCATCTTAGTTACATCATCTGTTATTCCTCGATTTTTGGAGCAACTGCCCCCGAGTTACTGGACTAATGAATGGATCCTGTTACAAAAGTTGTTGTTGGCCAAAATTTAGTAATTCGACACCTTCTCTTAGATCTATCCTCTATCATATGTATATCAAAATTACGACGAGCTGAGTCCAGATTCGAAACCCTAGCGAGGCGAGGCTATACTTGTATCCATCAGGCGGGGTTTGACCTTCAGCTGCATCATTTAGTACTTGCAATTTTTTGTCCGATGAAGTTGTAAAGGCCAGCTATTGCCAAAAGCATTTAAATATTTGGAAGAAAATGACAGACAAGCAAGCGTAATACATGTGGTAGCAGACACAAGGACTATATACTAAACTTCAAAAACTACCTAGGTAAAAATAAACACAATTTTTTTTGTACCAGGAGGCAAATGAACTTACTACGAACTTGATGGTAAATTGCAAGGTAATTCCCGGCTTTTTAAGAAGGGGTTGGAGAGGAAGGCCTAATGCCTGAAAGGGGTATGATGGAGGAAGATTGATTCACAATGCGAAATACGAAAACATTAACGCCAGTATTCGGACAGATAGAAAGACAGTGACAATTCCTGCTGCAAAACCACACATGATCCAATAGAGTGCTCTACTTAAAAACTGACAAATTAACTCATTATAATTAAATCAAAATATCACCAATCGCTATTGATAAAAATATTGTGCTTTGAGAGCCTTAAATAAGTACAAGTAAGTAATAAAGTAGATACAAGGAAGTAATGAATGACGTTTAATTTCAAGCATAAATGTAGATGTTGTAATTTAATTCTTTTCCGCGTTCGCTCTTCATACGTAGTGTTACATAGTTGTATCCGACGCCCCCCTGTGTTACATTCGCGGATGCCTCGCTATAAGTCAAGTCGTATGCCAGGATACCCTGAATACAAAAATAAATTATTAAATCTTACTAATATTGCAAACAAAGATGTATGGATTGATGTTTGTCACTCTTTTACCTAGAAACTACTGAAAGGATTTTAATTAAACTCTTTCCTATTTGGTTTAGTTCATAACAGGTATTCAATATGTATCTAACATATTTAATAGTGTTTTGAAATGAATGTTAAGAAATAAAAATTGAAGTTTTGTGAGTCATGTCATGTGTAAGTGTATTAATATATATAGGCTGGCCTTAAAGACTGTTACAATTAAAAATAAAACAAGATTTGGATTTGGATTTTGGTGGAATTTGGAATCTGTCAATATTATATGAATGTTCATTGTGCGTCATCAGAACCAAAAAAAAATGTTGATTGTGTTTTCTCTTTTTCGTGCCAATCATTTGTCAAATATTTTTGATATTAAAACGCAATGCGGTGATTACGAGAACCGAATCGCTAAATCTGGCCGTCCATGGTAAGATCTGGTCATACGAAAATGGCAATCAAAGCAGTAATGGAAAAAAATCGAAGAAATCCTGTCAGATAAAATATTCTATCGCGCGATAAAAGATTCTATCTCGCGAGATGAAGATAGCTCCTACAACCATGTTGCATGTTTTAAAAGATTACTTAGGACTTGTAGGGTGGTAAAATCAAAACAACTACTAATAATCAAAATAACTAAATAGTAATAATAATAAGCGGTACGCAAAGGGAGGCTCTAGATATATTCTTTTTACGAATGAGAAAATTTTTACTATTGAGCAATATTTTAACAAGCAGAATAACCGTGTTTGTACTCAATATAAAAAAAAAGTTGCAAGTATAAATTAAAAACAATTAAATAGCAGAATGAGGTTAATGAATGAATGCATAGATGGATCGACGGATGGATGTTTGTTCTTATTTCACGCAAAAACTACTCAACGAATCTTAATGAAACTTTTAGTAACATCTTATCAGATCTACGTATTGTACAAAATGTATAATTAAAAGTTATTTTAATTATGTTAATGAAAATGAAAAGTAAGTCAAGATTTTTTTTCTTTTGAGAGCTATTTTGGTCTACGCTGTATAAATTGTTAGAGTTATATGTATTACATCATAGTAATGTATAAAAATATATAAATGAATATAAAACTGTATAAAAGTACACAATTGGATTATATACCTTTTATGTGGAAGCTGTTATAGTCAATTTAGTGTAACATAAATATATCTGTTTAATTACGATACTTTAATAAAAATGAATAATGTACAGTATTAAACTTATTTATATCAAAACTAGCTGTGCCCGCGACTTTGCGCGCGTGTAAGTGACCTTGACCAAATATAAAAAAAATATTTAATAATCTAACCCAAAAAAGGCAAAGAAAAAACATTCCTCGTTATAAATTCAAAAATGACGATTTTCTATACAAACTTTCATCCCCTATTTTTACCTCCTTAAGGGTAACAATTTTACAAACTTAGTCGTATTTTTATTTATAGTATTTAATGAACAGCCTAAAAATAAGTTTCAACATTCTAGTTTTAAAAATGACGATACTTGCATACAACCCTTCATCTCCCTTTTCAACCCCTTACAAACTGTTATTCGCGTTAAAAAGTACACTATGTCCTTTCTCAGGGTCTAGACTATCTGTGTACCAAATTTCATTTAAATCGGTTCAGTAGAGTTACTTTCGCATTTATAATATTAGTAAGGAGTAAGGTAAGTAACCGATAAATGTACTTATTCATTTATCGGTTTTAGTATTTAAAGTAAATAAACTTTGTCCTGTATATACTAAGTATATAAGTTAAATAGTTTGAGAGTCGCGATGTTAACAAACGCGCCTACACGCGGGTAAACGTGTGTGCATTTTGTGACTGACTTTGTTTAGTAACTGAGCTATGGGACTTAAAAAAACATACCTTAATTGATCCTCCAACAATAATATAATTTCTTGGCAGTGTGAAATTGTAATATTCAACTCTCTTACGGAAAATATTAGAATTGTATTTCGCACGGTGATGTTGAACTAATGGTCTCTGAATATTCGTACCAAGGAATGTATGCCCACATTCTACCACTACCACTGCTATTAATACAACAGTGGACAAAATGAAAAATATGTTATATATCTTCATTTTTACAACGAAACAATTTTTTTTATAATTTCCTGTTCACCCGAACTTTTCACGAGAAATGAAATGGAATCTTTATTGACCTGACATTATATACTCTGTGGTGGAGATAATTTCAAATCATAATGGTCATATAATATTTTTATTTAGAAAATATATCTATACAATTAATTTTTAACTGCTATTTGCTCGTTCAAATTAATTATGGACTCGAAACATGCCCATTAAGGTAACGATCTTTCTGTTTGACGCTTATCCTATCACTGTTATTGATAAGAACTAATTAAAAATATTACAACTCAAAATAATAGCAAATTTAATTAATACAATAATAATACTATACTACATGTACTAAAATATATTATATATCTGATGGCCTCAGTGGTTTATCGGTTTAGCACACCGCTATACTTCCGATGGTCGCGGGTTCGATTCCTTGCACGGTGCAAACATTTGTATTCATGAGTATAATTATTTGTATCGGGCTCCGCGCCCCGGCTTTACACGGGTGTACATGTATTACACATATAAATCCTCCTGAATCAATCTATCTATAGTAAAAATTGCTTTAAAAATTCGTTGCATAGTTTAAAAGATCTAAACGTACAGACAGCGGAAGCGACTTCGTTTAATATTATGTATGTAAAGATATTGAAGCTGTATAGATCTTTTGAAATGGCCAACGATTTTGTCATACACAGAATTCTCGTAGGATTCCCACCGTTGCGGTCGCTCGAATATTTCATGGCTTTAAAATATATGTGCTGAGGTATGTGACTGAAATTCAGCATGAAAATTTGTAGTTACGGAATTCAAGCCAGCAAAAACATTACAATGGAAGGGAAGTAATAATTGGTCAAATAAATTTATTATATGTACTTAAGCTGATTATCATTTCATGATTATTAATTAAACGTTTTTAAAAGTATTTTTTACTAGCTATGCTAGGCTTCACCGGCATGAAATTTAAGGCTTATGTGTTATTCTGATGGATAAAGTATATTACTGTAAAATTTCATTATAATTCCTTCAGTAGTTTACGCGTGAAAGAGTAACAAACGTCCATCCATACTCACAAACTTTCGTGTTTATAATATTAGTAAGATGACTATCTTTACTAAAATTAGTTTTATCCCTTTTGAATACTGAATTTAAATTCTACCGCATCGTAGAATATAAAGCCTCATGATGCAGAATTCCTTATTTTCTTATATATATACATTACAAATTAAAAATACCGTAACAACAACGTACAATGTACATCAATGCCCGCGTAACACAGAATTAAAACAACAGGAACAAAAAACAGAACAACCAACGAATTTCGGGAATAATAAAACAAATAAACAAATACTTCAATAATGCTGCAGGGAACAAAATAAGTCTACTAATCACCGGTCACCAGTTAAATCATCCTGCTCCTTTGGACTTTATTCACCCAGTCGAGCACCTGCCCCCAGGTAGCGACCTGCAATGGCCCATTTGGAAATCGCTCAACAGACTACGAACCCAGATGGGCCGCTGCAGGTACAACTTGGTAACGTGGGGTGCCGCTTCTAGGGAGGCTTGTGACTGCGGAGCGCCATCCCAGACTATGGCACACCTGCTGGCTTGTCATTTGTGCCCAGCATCCTGCACAAAGGGGGACCTAAGGCATGCGACGGAGTGCGCAAGGGTTGTCGCGGCGTTCTGGGGAAAATATATTTAAATATATGTATTTGGTTGCCGTTGAAACGAAGAAGACTAGTTTTTATATCACAAACATTAACTTCTTGTATAAAATATAGCAGATGATCAACTTTTTTATGCCACAATACTAGCAAATAAGTATATATTTTTTTAATGTATGATAATTCAATGGTAACGTCACAGATAACATAACATTACATAGTAATATGCGCTCGCCCGCGTTAACGGTAGGTATGTGTCCTGAAGAGGGATGATAAGATGAAAATGAATAAAATAGGTCAGTTAGTCCAAATCAAATATAATTTATTCATGTAGGCCATTTTAGCCGCTTTTGAACTTTAAGTTATTTGTCTTAACATTATTTTTCCCTACAGTCCAGTTCAGTATACAGATTAAATGGAGAAGAATGAAATAGCAAGAAACTCTCTTGAGTTTATTTGTCACCATGACTCCCATGGTACCTCCTCATCATGCATTTCTAAATAGAAAGTTATATATTTCACCCATGCAGCATACTGATGATTGAGTTGTCTTATCAAGTAATAGAATTTAGTGGTAGTAGGCAGAATGTTTGAAAAGTGAACAAAAAAGAAATCTTGTGAACTATGGAATGTGAAATGATTTTTATACAATTATATGGTATACAAGTGCATATATAATCAATTTATTACTATTTACCCGGAAAGTGTCTATCTTCCTTAATATTCCAATTTAAAATGTTATAAACCGAGAATTTATAGAAATAAACACTATTAAAATGTTAATTTAAAACAGTAATATATCATTTACACAGTCCATTTAATGAGGGTAGTTGTAAGTCCATTAAAATATCGTGTAACATGTTCTTTCCATCCATTACGTATGTACAATTTTCACTCGGTACGTCACGGGCGGCGGATGTACAAAAGTCACGTATAAATCAGGAAGCCGCGACGACGCCATATTTGTCCTTTTCACCGCCATTTTGTGCTGCCTGATACACAAATAACGGAACGCGTAAAATATGTACATAAATTTTAACACGAACCGTTGTGGATAATAATGTTGATATTTTTTAACACAGATCTCCTAACTGGCTTCACAAATTAAAAAAAAAACTATTACCCAGCTCTGAGAAATCAACAATAGAAGCGTGTATGTAATCATTCTTAAATTAATTAATATGTACCTACATATAAATTTTCATGTAGAGACGTGTAGGTATATATGTATATGTAAGACACGGGAATATTATCAGAATCTGATTATTATTTTTTTATTTAAATTATACCATTAAGGACGTTGAACGTTTTAGTTTGAGAACGTCGTAACCACAAGGATTCGACTGCGTTGTCGCATCCTTGTGTGTGGTGGTCCTTCCGCCGGTGTTGCGGTAGAATTGGCTATATGACCGTTGTAGAAATAAAATATGAAAACTATTTTCTATGGTAGCTTCTTAGTAAACAGTAAGCATACAATATGTTTTTTGCATTAAAAAACATTATTAATATTTTATGTTTGGAAAATAAATCTGAGTTTTTTTTATCTGTGGTTGACATGGAGCGGCTATGATTGAACATCGTATGACGTCAAAATTCAATAAACAAAACGTTGTTAAGCAATCTTATGTAATTTGTTCTAATAGTTTGCTGAGAAAAATCGCTCAAATATTTCAATTTGTGTTGTCTAAAGTTTCACGAAATGGAGTTAGGCTATATTAAAATGCATAATGCAAATTGTTGGGAATATTTGTTTAATAATAATAAATAATATTTTCAAATAATTTGTTGGGAATTGTCGACACATAAGTACAGCATACGTTCTGTGGCTTGTCACTTTCGCAATTCCAATAAAATCTGTATAGTTATCACTCAAAACAGTTAGAGCGCCGTATTAGCCTTGTCGCATGGAGAAATAAAATTCATTTTTTCTCTATCAAATAAAGCTTTTTTTGAAAATTAGATAATTGTAGGGGGTTTTAAATAAGGCTACATATATATCCATTCTCAAGCGATTTCCTAACTTGACGAAAATAACTAAAAATAAAAAAATTTAAGTACATTTATTCCACATTTTACAAACCGACTCATACATATTCATTACTTAAACAGGCAATGAGTTATATTTTCTTGGGCGCTTACTAAAATTACCATAACAAAAAATGGCGAACATATAACACATATCACATATACAAAACCCACGAGATATTGTTGTGTAGTATGTCATCATCGTCATATTTCATAGATTCTAATATACACATTCCATATGAGAACTTGTATCTAAAGCAGCACTAGTAGGCTCCTGCCAAATTTGGTTGGACAGAGAGAGAAACACGCGTTGAAGGTGAGTGTTGCACATCGACAACGAGCCCACTTAAAACTAGCCCTGGGTCACAAGTCGCAGTAACAGCTCGGAGTTGCCCTCACTGCCACACGATGAACCCGGCTCAACCAGCAACCGGTACTCTATGGATGCTAACCCTTAAAAATAAACCTGGGTCACAAGTACCGGGGACTGCTCGAAGTTTCCCTCTGTGCCACACGATGGACCAGGCTCGCTCAGCAACCGGCACAGTGAATCTATGGAATGCTAGGAAGTTCTCTCTCTAGTGCACTGTTGAATGAATTTGGAATATAAACCACCTATCTGTCTGTTAATAAATACCTATTTATCTATCAATTAATATTTTTGCTTTTTTGCTTCCGTACACCACGGCATAGTCATGTCTCTCCTTATCATAATAATGCTAAACTACTAAATATGTCTTCACGTTACAACCTTTATTTTGCGACTTTATTGTTTGATGTCATTGAATCTAAAATGCCTGATTATCTTTATAGAAAACTTGTGTGGTCTGGCAATCAACATGCTTTTAAAACCAAGGCTTCATTGTATCGACTAGTGACTCCAGCACATCGGACTACTGCTTTCAGAGGCAGTTTCAGATATATGGCCTCTAAGTGTTAGAATAACTTACCTCCTCTCATTCGCAATATCAAAACTAAATTGAATTTTAAAAACCTTTTAAAAAAACACTTATTGTCTGAACAACTGACTTTAAAATAGGAGGTCCTTTACCTGAGGAGTCTTTTTCAACGACCTAAGTATGTAAGCTTGGTCAGGAGCAATAATGTCTGACTCACGGAGCGTTTAGCCAGCGACCTTATATGTATATGCTAACAACACCTATTATTTATGTACGTAGTATGTATAGGTTAACAATATACATATGTATATCATTTTTAATCTATTTATGTATTGTATAATGTTTTGTAATTGTATAATTGTTTAAGAGCTCGAAGTGTAATATATAAACATTCACGTATATATGTATGTAAGTATGTATTTAATTATAGGAGCCAACAGAATATCAGCGCTGCAAACTTATCTGTAGCTTCATGCTGAGTTGGTTGCCTCTTCATCATGGCGACACATAAAGCCACCTCCATTTTTATTTTATTTTGTAATATTATATTTCGGTATTATTTAATTTGTAAACTTTATTTCTATTTATAAAATGTATCTCATGTGTGCTATGTGTTTGTAATTGTCGAATAAAGAACTTATCTATCAATCTATCTATCTAATCATTCTGAAAAAAAAATATAGTATAATAATTAATAATATGAAATGTATTGTATTTATTTATCTTTACATGATATTATAATATAATCGTAATGAGCCAAACACTGTCTGCTTGTTTGGTCAACTTTCTACCTGTAACATACCTAAACTAACTACCAGCAAGGTATCTCGTAAAGAATCTCGTTTGGAATCATTAGAACGATATTTTCACAAAATATGTTCATAAATACAGTCCGTAGAAAGTCGAGAGAATCCCCAAAGGAATATAAATTAATTTTGTGAATAGTTTTAATGGATCACCTAATATATAATTAATAGAATTATAGATAGCTTGAAATAGATGCTTTATAAATTAATATTATCTGCGGAACTTCGCCTACGTAACATTTTTCCTACTTTTACAACACTTCGTTCCAGGTCCGAATTGGTTGAAGCGTCTTGTTATATAGCCTATAGCCTTTCTATATAAACGGGCCATCCAACACTAAAACAATATCCAAAACCAATTCAGTAGATACAGAAATTGCCCTCTTTACAATATTAGTAGATAGTCTCGTAGTGGACACAATGGAATTTGGTAATAACAAACGCTGATGTACTAGTTAACAACATATATAATTTCTCCTTTGCGTTTCACAAAGATTAATATTGTCAATGGATCCTAGCCCTCTAACTATTGAATCAGTAAAAATGTATATCAATTTGAAGGTATAATCAAAAAATATAATAAAAAAGCGCCTGTTGAACACGATTAGCACAAACTACCTACTGTTGCAATGTAGCCAACATTGTAACAATATAGATTGTTGATGATCATCAAAACGAGCTACCTATAACCGTATGAAGGAACAGTCACCAATAGTCTTTAATCAAAAATTGATAGATAAATATATTAAGTATTTAATTTAGTATCTAAATAAGTATACTTTCATAAATTACGTATCTGACTTGTTACAAAATAACATAGTAAATAAACTTTTTATTTGTGTGCAAACAAAGCGAAACTTTTTAATGCCAAGATAGAAAGGCAAAGGAAAAAATTATCAGACGAGCAACGAAGATGGGATGTCGTTGTCACAAGATACTTTTTTCAGGAAGCGTGCTCTTACTCGAGTGGGTATCAGAAGGCTGTAAGTGCACTTCCTGTAAGAGGTCGTGTCAAAGCAGCCGCCGGATGTGTCAATTTGAAGACACAATCTTGAAGATGTTGCCAGTGTGTAGATTCGGAATGTCTTTTTTGGGTGAAACTTAATCTTTATACCTATATATACTTTCAGATAAAACAAAGCTAGTGAGCATTGGCTTTAGTGGTTTCTTAAACTGCCACTTAGATAGGTCCTGAGTTCGATGCTAGACTATCAAAGTAAATCTTAGTTAATTTATATTCCTTACTAATTTTCCATTGAAATGTCCAATCTCACGTTTACTGTGACTTCGATGACGTGATTCCTGACAATTGACAGAGTGGCATATGGCATGACAGTGGTGAAAGATTAGGCTGTATATATTATATATATATATATATATACAGAATACCAGTGTCGTGGCACCTCGTCACGGCATATGTTAAGCGGAGACCTATTTGGTACTACAATTAATAACCCAAATGGTATTTAATAAAATACTTTTTGACATAAAATATACAAATATTTTGTCTATTAAATAAACTATATTCTTCCTTTCCTTCATGCATTATTTTTTAGAATAAGTTATTGTCAACATTTCCGCTCACATTTTTTGCAGATTAGCCTAACTTAGCGTATAAGCGCGTTTTTCTGATTACCAAACATTACTACTAGATTACCAAACAAGCCACCTATTGAAAAGTGGCAACTATCGCCAACATATTACAATATATGTACAACCCAGCGGACATTGCAACGTGATATGATATTTGTGGAACCCATAATAATAATCCTAAAGCCTAAAATATCCATGCGTCCAAATCCTGTAAGGTTACTGCCATATCTCAACATTTAAAACACAGCTTACAAACAGCTGCTTGTCGGCTAAAATAGGCGAGACAGGCGACTTCGTGCAAAGTCTAGTGAAAACTAGAATACATGACGCATATTTTTCTATTTGTTTGTACTGCTCTGGACTATTTTGTCTTGTCGTAAATTAGGGTTAGTTACCCAGTTGACAAGGGTTCGACAGTTACCTTACTAATTATCTAAAGAGCATACTCCTCCCCTCTCTTTCTAATATCTCGACCGTTTTATATTAATTTATATAATGTTCTAAACCCTTCGAGATAACATAATTAAAAATTTTAAATGACCAACCTTAAATATTTTATATTTATTACTTTATATTTTATACTTTCATCCTAAAGGAATAGTAATACAATATATATAAATAAAAAATATTTTAATTGTACAAAGTCATATCAAAACAATTTATATCGCTTTGTATATATTACCAATTCATCCCCACTTCTTTTTCTATAGATTGTTGATTTTGTTGTCTGAACTGAAAAAAAAAAAATCTTTTCTACCTACCCACATAAAAATCTAACGAAATGGGGAAAAGGGGTTTTTGGTAATGGGGGAGTAGGTACCATTGCTAGTAATATATGGTACACAAGCAATGTGGTACCAGCTCCACAACAAGGTCAGAAGTCAGATTAATAAACTCAACAACAATTATTATTGTTTGATAGTAGGTAAGTAATGCAAACACTACTGCTCGTCACTATTGTCAAAGATTATGTTGAAATGGCTCAAAAACTTTTTTACCTCTTTGTAACGAATTTTAGAACAACATAACCCTAACATAAACTTCAATTGAACGAATTACTTGATATACCGAATATTTTCTTGTTCGCTTCCGATTTTTAGTAGTTTTCGAGGTTGCACTGTAATAATATCCGGATCTGTCCGGAAGAATTTGTTAGGATTGAGTAATTTATCTGACCTCATACTCATCTTATCATTCTCCACTACTTAATTTTTATATATAATTGTAATTGCAAACAAACTCATCCCTATCTGATGGTAAATGGTAACCTCGGGGGGAGGGGATTGTTAGTACTGTGGACTAATGATCTCATTGCTAGCAATGTATCATGTCAGGTCGACCTCCACGCGGTTCCCCCTGGAAACCATCGTGATAAATTCCTGGTGAATTTGTCACGTTGGGCTAACTGATCTGACTTCATGTTCATCTTATTATCCTCCACTGGTGCCCCGCCAGCGTAAACCGTTAGCGCAGGCGGGTACACCATTCCATTATCATTCTCTAAAAAAAAAAATGGTAACCTCGTCCATATACAACACCAATACAGACATCACATAGTCATGTGATATTAGCGACACGATTCATGTATTGCCATTCGAGAGGACTAAGATTTCACGCTTCTTATACTGCAATTTTATTGTCTAATCGCACCTTAAAATAGAAAAAAACAGCTTACAAAGAAAGCTGTTTGGCGCCTGAAATAGGTGAAACTAACTCAGACCAGTTTTTACAGTGTACCTCTGACAATGATAATGTCTACCTGCGCATTCACCAGATGCTAAATAATTTCTAGATTTCTTCTTGTTCAATAACCGTTTGTTTCTTCTATAAAACTTTGCCAGATTCTCAGAGCCAGTTTTAATCACCAATTCGAAGAAGTTTAGTCTATACCGTAACTTTTTATTTGCTATTATTATCCTGTACCACGTTTCATATGCTTTCGTAGCATTGCGCAGTGAAGTGTCGTCTAGATAACTGAAATAAAGTGTTATCGGTAAATATTACAAAAAAAACTACCTAATACTAAAATCGTAATATTATCGCTTATTATCATTTCAATAGTGCTTAAATTTAAGCTTATTTGAATAAAGAATTTCTACTCTATTCTATTCTAATAATACCTACCTACCCATGAAGACACGACAGTTGAATAATAGTTTAAAATCTGTTTTATTTTATGTTATATAAACACCAATAAATTTAATTAAATGATGGTTATTATATACCTAATAAATGCATGTGTAAATTTGTCTATACTGAACTAAGCAACTCACGAGAAAATTTCCCAAGACAATTCCAGAGGTAACAATGACACTATATCACGTGTGAACGTTGCAAGAAGCGTTTTTGAACCAAAAATAAAAACATCGTTCTCGTACATTGTAAACAAAGTTTAGATAGATCACATTATCACATTAGCCGTGCGGGTAGTGATATTAGAATAAATACAAAAAGATTAAATATTGTTGGTACCTAAGTAACAAAAAAGAATTGGTAGTTATATAGTTATACAGAAACCTGAGCAATAAACCTACTAAATTATAATTTATTCGAAAAAACGTAACCGGTTCCTGAACAAATCAATGATGCTATGACTATATTATTATTCCATTTCCAGCAAACTGAAGCATTGTGATTATTTGCTCAAAGTTCAGTGTAGCAAACTGGCAACACAGACGAAATCAACAAGCGGTTTTGCTTGTCTCTGTTTATCGGTGAATTTATTGAAATTTATATTTTGTTAAATGGTTTTGATTGAGTAGTGGTATAATTTAATTCCCTAAAACTTTATTATTTATTATTTTCTTCATAAACCACATCAATTGCTTAGTAATGCTCTTTTATTATTTGCCTTGTCGGAACTGACAGATGTTACAGTGATAACTCGCGCCAGTTTTTAGCCGCCGATTAAGTGAATTTTGTGACAAAAATGGAAGAATCTAATAGAAATAATAATGACAAAGTCTCTTCTTCTCAAGAAATAGGTAAGTCATTAAAGTTCTATACATTTATAAATTGAAATTGTAAAATCCTAATTGACGTTCATTTTCAACAACCGACCAAATTAAAAATGCTTTCGTACACCTTGTTGCAAAAAATTCGTTTACAATTACATTTTTATAAGCAAATGTCTTTTATTATTACATTATCTTATTTTTCCACTTATTGTTATAAAATCTACAAAATATTACAGAGTTTTGTTTCGTAAAACAATGTAATAGTGATTTGATAGAAATATTACAGTCTACAAAGCATTTTCTAGTGGTCGGTTTATAATCTGAACGTCAATTATATTCGTTTCGAAGCTTTTATAAATTATATTAAATGTTTCTTGCTTTATGATACGATTTAAGAGGAGATTCTACTTGTATTTTACCACATTTCATAGTTTGTAGACATTTAAATTATTGACATCTTACCGATTACATTTATTTCATTCCTAGAAATTTTAAAACTTATTGGTTAATTAGTGGTTGAAATCGGGTTCGCCCGGATGAATGTATCTTTGTTAGTCATGTATATATTAACATAATATATAGCTATGTTAGTGTGGAATAAGATTTTCAAATAGTGAAAGAACTTCTCATATCATTCCAATGTATTCGAAGTTACTTTTGTCAGAACAAAAGTCTGTCTATTATGACCCATTTGAATCAGAAAAATAGGATATAAATAATTTTTAAAGTTTTAGATTATGGGTTTTCTATTAATGGAGCGGTTGCACTACCTATATATACTAGTTATAGTATAAGGTGTGAAATAGGTGCATTCAAGTTTCGAATAGCATATTTTAATTAATTTATGGTACAATATTAGTGGGGTTGATAGCGAAACAAACCTAATTCTCATGATTGCTGTTTTTAGGATGTACTTTACTATTGTATATTGTTTATATGTGCATTTTGAAGTAATAAGCAATAGACACAAATGATATTGTTACATTTTTCCTTAGAAAGTAAGAATAATGACATGTTTGACAACTAATAATGTTAATTTATAAAATTACAACAATTCTGCACAAAATTACACTATTATGAAAAGTTAACTAAAATACAAACTGTACAGTTATAATATTAGTATGGATTATAAAATGTTATATTAATATAAAAAAAATGTCATGAGATTCATAAATTTGGCAAAATCATGTATCTTTTATTCAACATGTTTTATAATGTAATAGAGTATATAAAATGAAATAAAATCTGTATTCAAATGTATAATTTCTGCTACATAATCGAACAATCTGTTACTTCATATTTGAGACCTCATTCACCTCATAACAAAAAATAACCCGTCTACTAGTAACATGTCTGAACATGTTGACCACATACTTTCAAAGCAAAATAGACCCTAATGTTTTTAAGTAAAGCTTTAAACTTTTTTGTTTTCATTAATAACTTAGAATGGGTAGCATCTATTGGTTACATAATTTATGGTCATTTGTACAACCTTGAACTACATGAGTTGTTTGTCTAAAAATAGATTATAATATTTTTTTTAACAAGATGTATTTTTTTTAGATTGATTTTATGCAATAGTGCACTTTTCTGTGCTAATAGTAAACAACTGATAAAAGATGTCAATATTGTAATTTGTGCTCAAAAAAGCTCATTCGAAAAATATAAATGCTGAGTTAGTCCTTCTTAGCTGTAAATTTAACATATCATCTGTAATAGACCTACATTTCTTTTATTAATGTAAATGCGGGGAAAGTGTTCGCCAAAAGAATCATCATCACTTTAGGTGTTCCTGATTAGCCATCATAACCTGATGGCTAATCAGGACAACATGAAATAAAAGGACTAGTCTTTTATCTTATTTTACCATTAGGGGACACATGTTGTCCCAGACTATCATTTGGTTGGCTAGTACATTTAGATGATTTAAATCAAAGTAAATAAAAAAAAAATTGATTCATGTAGGACATTTTAGCTGATTATGAACATATTTTTTTTTTGTATTAATATTTTTTTTCCTACCGTCTAGTATTTTGATTGTCCAGATTTACTAGCTATGTCTTGTATTTGGAGCAGCAGTGCTACATCTCTTTGGATACAGTATTCAGCATTGAAATACTGAACCTCAGATGTTTTTGCAAACTAAGACAAGCTGTTTCAAGATATTATTTAATTCATATTAATAGACTTACATGACAATGATATTTTAATTTGATTTGACATGTATACATATATAGGTAATGGTAGTATACCACTTACAATCAGTTAGAATATTTGCAATTCTAACTACATAAAAGAAATAAATATGTAAATACTATATGTTTCAGCTTCACCGAATTCTGACACCATAGAGAACACTCCAACTAAACCTGGTGACACCTCTCAGATTCTGTTCCCGGAGAGTCCTGTCTATGAACCTGAAGACATGGAAGAAATTCAACAACCTGATGAGGTTTCTCTCAAATTATTAACTTATTATATATAAATAGTATGAGACTAAAGAGCAAATGGTCAATGTTCATTGGAAATAGAATCATTCATTCAAATCAGTTCCTATTTGAAAACCTCATAGGTCTGTTTTGCACACAGAGTTGCAGTTTAGATTCCTTACACAATGCAAACCTATGTATTCCTGAACATGATTGTTTTCTATATTATGTATGTACTTACAAAAATATTTGAATTTAAGTATTATGAAAGTTGTCTAGTACCCATAACACAACCTTAGCTTAGGACTAAATGGAGCTGCGTGGTTTATGAAATAATATAAAATAAATCTTTTTCAGGAAATGTTTCAGTTTATTTTTGTAATTGTTCTTGAGAGTCAGTTTTTTATACTTTACTTATTATTATTAATTTTTCAGTTGTAAAAAAATATATGCAAAATCTAACATATTCATATTTTCAGCATGTCACCTCTACAACAGAAATGAAGGCTGATGAACAACTGGAAGTTAAAGGTATGTAACTGAATTTATTTATTACCTCTTTGATATGCAATGCCTGACATAAGAGTTAAATTGCTTTAGAAGTAGTCATACAGTTGGTTTCTATACATGAACCAAATAGAGTTGATAAAGACATACAACTGTAAATTGTAGAAAACTTTATATTGCATTAGTTTAATGTGTACGTCTCACTTTCTGTCTCTAAACTATTGCTATCATACATTCATCGGTCTCAGATAAATAACATTTTTATTCTCTGCTCCTAATTTCGAATTATGTTATATTACATTACAATATGATATAGACAGTATAATAATAATTTTTACAGAAGGCACTCCAACGCAAGTAAAAAGAAAATTGAGCGATGAAGCTTTGCAGAGTGATGCAAAGATGCAAAAAATTGATCTCACCAGTGGCGACTGTGGTGTTTCCACGCAAAACTTAGATGACGAGGTGTCAGAAATAATTGGCGCCGCATCTAAAAGAAAATTGGATATTCAATTGCCATCTACATCACGTGTACGAACACCTGTCAAATCAAGCCCGAGAAAAATAACAAAGCGAAGCAATAGTGCTGACGTAACTAAACCGAAAACACCAAAGACTCCAAAATCTCGATCAGCCAGCGTGGACATCACGAAAGCACCGAAAACACCACGTCGACAACCTCTACAGTTAGATCAAATTGAAGAGCATGTAATCTCAGAAGAAACAAATGGATCAGACAAAAACTCTCGAGCTAGTGTGGTATTTGTTAAAGAAATACCACCACCAAAAGTGAACCCTGTGGAAATAACAGCAGAGGAATCCAATTCAGAATTAAATGACTCACAAAATTTACATCTAGTCTTATCACCTTCTCCCGATGAAGATGTTAGCAATGATAAATCAAAGCCATATTATAGCAGTGACCCAGTCACAGTTAAAGATAGAAAAGAAATATTGGATCCCGGCAAAATTTATAAAACACACAGTGAAGGTTATAATTATTCAGATCAAAGTAGCAACTTATCTCAATCAATGCTAAAAGATTATAATAAGGGTAAAACAACTGATCAAGAAAGTACTGATAGTGTTGCCTCTATAAATCTTGAAAGTCCTGACCATGTCCCTAGTGTTGCTTCAAAGATGATCTCCAAATTATCCAATGGCAATTCTTCAACTCCAACCGAAATATCCATTCCAGGAAAACATGGCTTGACAGAAGATAGCGATAGCACTCCTGATCTGATCAAATTAAATGGCAACAAAGGTAAAAGGCTTAAAAATGAGTCATTCCGTGCGAGTAATACAACAACACCATCAACAATTTCACCATTGCAGAACGGTCACTCACTGCCCATCAACACTCCTCAAATACCCATTTTTGATATTCACATTAGCCAAAATGAGGATTGTGAGTTTCTATCCCTATATGTTGTGAGAACTGATAATGATTTAGGTATGGATATATGCAAAGAATTTCAGAGGATTTCAAAAAGATTTACCATTGATCCTTATATGGCAGATGTCTCTGTTAGCAACTCTCCATCCAGTGTTACTAGTGGAGGCATGATAAATCTACCCAATAGAACCTCGTTTGCATCAACTGTCAGCTCGACTTCTACTACCAGCAGCAATCGCACAAGCGACGGAGCTTTTGTAGTACCACAGCCACCAAGAAAATCTGTGTCGAACCCATCAACTACTGTTAAAGGATATGATGCTTTAATGAAGAAGTTACAAGATATATTTTCGCATATAAGAGAAACATCTATGGACGAAGGAAATCGATCATTAAGTGACGATAAAATATCAATTGGGATTCAAACGTCACTTTCAAGTGATTCGGCTTCACTGAGTAATGGCAATGCTAGTCCTGATGAAGTCAGTAAATGTGATAAGACCACTCCAAAGAGTTCACTCAAGAAGTCTCGGGTAAGGGGTCGTAGACCCCTAGCCGGCAAAACAAAGCGTGCTATTTTGCCAACGCAGCACGAGGAAGCGGAAGAGGCTCAAGTTGCCAAATCGCCTGAAAGGCTGCCATCAAATGGCGAAAACGGTAAAATGTCTCCAGTCAAGTCACCTAAAGAAGAGAAGCCCTTAGCTTCTATTGTGGGTACACCAAAATCAGTCACTAAACTGAAACAGAAACGTCGTCCAACATCGCCTAGACCTGCCACTCCTGTCGAGAAAGTTATAGTCAAAACTGAATATCCAGGGTTTCCTCCTGATACGGTGGTGCTAGCCAAGTGGGCAGATAAGCGTTATTATTCTGGAAAAGTTCTAGAAATCACCGAACCAAACAAATATTTAATTAAATTCGATGACGGACATTCCAAAGTTCTTCTAGATGACTTCATAATATTTGGAGATATGAAAAGTTTACCGTTGCGGGGATGTTCAGTTTACGCAATGGTAGATGATGAACAGAACTACGAGCCTGGCCTGGTGCTAGATGTGGAGGAGAATGCGAGCGGTACCGTGACATATCGCTGCATTACTGATGGGTGAGTCTCTTTTATATTGTTTGCCAATTTAAAAAAGTATAATCTTGTGAAACTGATATTGTAACATACTCTGTAATGTTGTCTAAAACCTCGCATAGGTTTAACTTCTTTGTAGTCTTACTATTTTCTGAGTATCTGTATATTTTTAAGTCATGGGGACGATTTTTCCCATATCTCAAAGTGAAAGCCGGCCACTTGTATATCATGTTTGTACAATATATCTAAGAAAATTCTATCATAGGCTTTTGGATCCCGACTTGCCATACTTACACTTTTCAGTATAGTTTTTTTTAATAATCCTTCAATATGTACACCCTTCATAGATTGATAGAAACGAGACTTTGGCGTTGACCACTTCTTAACTTATACGCGATTATCTCACTGAATTAGTCATCCACACCCCATGATTGACTCTGGGAGCAACAACCCCCGATTAACTAGGTTAACAGCATCATGGGGCGGATCACTAAAACTAAGTTAGTTTTAATTTTACAGGTAACATAAGAGATAACGTAGACGAATAACCTCTAAATGCCAGTTATTTTTTTAAAAGCAAATATCATCAAGCTACTCTTAATAAGGGCGAGTGCACACTGCCGCCCCCGGAAAATACACAAACCAATCTCATTACTAACAATGCATCATATATATTTATTTCAGGGTACTAACGTATGTAAGAATAATACATATAATAAATTATTAAATTTCCTTGCCCATTATTTGGGGTCAGCGCAGTATGTCATCCTCTTCCACTGATCCCTATTGGACGTTATATCTGAGCACCTACCCCATTTCCTTAAGGGTAGTATTATACTTATGCGTTTATCTGTGTGTGACAGAGAAACGCAGGTGTGTGTGACTGCGAGCGAACTATACCTGACGGAGGACCAGGCTCGAGCTCTGAAGGACTCTTCACGACCGCGCTCACCCCCCGTGCCGCACCCCACCACCCCGCGCCGACGTCATCACACCGAGCTGGATCTCGACAATATAATACAGGTCAATATACTGAATTCAATCGGAATTTAATTTAATTCAAGAAGGTTATATTAAGGTTTTTAAGGGTCGGCAACGCGCACGTGATACCCCTGGTGTTTCAGACGTTCATAGGCTACGGTAACCATTTACCATCAGATGGGCCGTATACTTGATTGTCACCATCGTAGTAAAAAAAAAACATTATTATAGATGATGCTTGGACCTCTCCAGATAGCTCATATTTAAGTTCAGTCTAAAGTCAGTCTACGTCCCGCCATGTAGCACACTAAACTAACTAATGTACAATAAATAGTACAATTATTACACCTGTACATTAACTATCTAGATACTACAATCTTATTATATTATAAACGCGAAAGTTTGTGAGTATGGATGCATGTTTACTCTTTCACGCAAAAACTACTGAACGGATTTTGATGAAACTTTACAATATTATAGCTTATACATCAGAATAACATATAGGCTATAAATTTCACGCGGATGAAGCAGCAGGCACAGTTAGCAACAATAAATTAAGTAGCGACATCTCATCACATCATGTGATCATCATCATCATTTATGTTTTTATTTCTATATATATTTATGTATGTTTATTATTTTATTTTTTTATTGAAATTTATATTAAAAATATTTTGCTTTATATTTATATATTTTTGTTGACTTTTCTCATTTATATTAGTGCACCGTCAACAATCTTTCTCTGCACCACTCATGGTTGACTGGTAGATAACGCCGCATGATATTAAGTCCGCCATATGTAAACATTGATTTTGTGCATTAAAGTTAAATAAATAAAATAAAAATCATGTATAACGCTAGTAGTGTGGTGATAAACATCGCGCTACAATGGAACTTCACAGAGACTGACTTGGTCGTCTAACGTTTTAGCACTCAGTCTGCGTGTTTTCGACATATATATTTACAAAAAATGTGTATCTGTAGCTCTGCTTAGCTTGGGACTAGGTAGCGCTGTGTGAATTGTCTTGAGTTATTAATATTATATTACTTTCTAAAAAGTAATCTGCGTGAATACCATATACCTACCTATTTTAGTCGCCTAAGCTGTTTGCTTTATATATAACCTATGCTTCGGTTGAAGGGTGAAATTACAGAATAAAGGGCAAAACATTGAATATATACATGAATAAAGATATTTTGATTTGATTTTGATTATTAATATACATATTATTATTATTATCATCTAAAGCGATCTCGTGAATACAAACTACCAATATATAATGAATTACTTTCATTACAGGGTCCGCGTAGCGCTCGAACTCGGGACAAGGGTAGTTCGAGCGCAAGGAAACGGCTTGCGTCACCGAAGAGTCCTAAAGCATCAACTTCAGGTATGCCAATAGGCAATCTGAGTAATATTATAAACGTGGAAGTTTGTCAGTGGATGGATGGATGGATGTTACACTTTTATGCAAGAACTCCTGAATGGATGATGGAAAACACGCACGAATAGAATAGAATAGAAAATCATTTATTCAAAGAGACTTAATTTAAGCATTTTTGAATAGTAATTTGTTTTTTATCTACCACTCGTTCGGAAAGCTGTCTCATCACAAGAAGAACGAGCAAGAAACTTGTGTGTTGCTCTTTTAAATAATCCTTGTAAGTTTACATTTACAAGTCGAAACATGTGAATACAAACTACCAACCAGCACAAATTTTTTGGGTCAAATATAAATATACAATAAGATTAAATCAGTCGTAGTGATAAGATTTACATGGCCATTCATACCTGCGTGAAAGGCCATGCGCGCGTGAAAGATCGTACGTGTAAAGGTAGCTACGTACATGATCATTCTTTCCTGTGTGAAAGCTCATTCGCTCGTGAAAGAGGGTACAAGTAAAAGCATATAAATAATTTATTTTACTGGCCTACTATAGGCGTGAAGTCAAAAAGCACGGCAGTAAGCCGCAAACGTCTAGCGAGCGAGAGTAGCGAGATGAGTGAAAGCAGCAACTCTGCGCCGCCCGCTCGTATAGAAGACGTCGCTGGAGTCGAACCCGAAGTGCAGCGGACGCCGCGCAAGATCGACGGCGTCAAGGGTATGTCAATCTTGTTTTAATCCTTGCTAATAGAAACCGCAGTCTCACCCCGTGCCCCACCCCACCACCCCACGCCCACTTCATCACACCGAACTGGATCTCGACAATATAATACAGGTCAATATATCGAATTGCATTGTGATTTGTTTTTTAATAGATGATATTTGGACATCTCGAGATAACATATATTTAAGTTCAGTCTACAGTCAGTCTACATCCCGCCATGTAGCACACTACTGAATAAACTTACTAATGTACAATAAATAGTACAATTATTGCACCTGTATACTCATACCTAGATACTAGTAGGACTATTATAAGGGTAGACTAGTAATTGGAGGTTAGATTGAATAACACCATAGCATATTTGAATTTAATTTGTGAACGCTTTGGAAGTACTTATTCGTACATAATTTAAGAGCCCTATTCTTATTGTTCGGTTTTTCCGTTATGCACTTTGAAAGTTAATGCAACTAGTTTTACATTGATCTCCTTGATGTATCTATGTCTTGGTCTTCCCCTTTCCTTCATTCTTTCGATAATGATCATTAGTTCATTATGCTTTATCAGGGCCCCTAACACTCACTCTCTTCAGTTGAAGGGAATTGTCAATAATGTGGATTGATGACCTCATAGTTAGCAATGTACCATGTCAGGTTGATCTCCACGTCCCCCTGGAAACCATCATCGTGATAAATTCCTAATGAATTTGTCATGATGGGCTGCCTTGATTTCATGCTCATCTTATTATCCTCCACTGGTGCCCCGCAAGCATAAACCGCTAGCGCTGACGGGCGACTATCTCATTTAAACCCAATAAAAAAATTACCTACGTTCTCTTCTAGGTTTTAACTTCTTGAAGGTGTTAAAAAGTGAAAATCTTAATAAAATTGTGTATTAAATTTAGGAACATTTTTTATATTTAATAGCGGGGCCATTGCAACTTAAAGGTGCGGCCAAACAGAACATTGGCAAAAAGAACTCTAAGCTGACAAAGTTCGAGAACGATGAAGACACAGTGTCGCTGCTCGGGCCGATACCGAGCGGTGACTGCACCATATTCTCCGGTCTGCACTTCCTGCTGACGTGCAACGAGGCGCCACGCATAAGGGACGGAGATGAGAAGTATACTGGAAAGGTAAATCAATATTATTTTATTATATTAGCCGGCCTAGGTAGTCTTAACAGTATAGCACAAGGCAGAGGTCCATATACACAAAGAATAGTGTAATACTAATAAGAACTAATACTAATAACATCAGAAAAATATATATAATACCGTACTTTTTAATGTTACTATGTTTTTTCGTAATTTTTATGTATATATGAGTGTGTATGCGACGATTAAACAAATATATACATATATATGCATATATGTTGTTTAGTTGTTGTTATATCAATATGTGAATGCAATGGTTGTCAATAAATGTTTTTCTTTCAAATGACACTCATTTCAAAGAAAGAAAGAAAAACATTGGTGCAGAAAACTTTTCTTTTACTTTTTCTACATATTTTATAGCTTGCGGAAAATATGTCAGATAAAATATACAATGTAAATAATGGATACAGGTGAGGATAAGATACCTATAATAGATCTCTCCTTCATAAAGTTTTTACTTTTAACATGTGGTCTTAAGCTCGTTTCTATATTTCACACAGAGTCAGGATACCCGACATTACTCATCAGAAGAAGATGGCGACACCACATCTACTATTGCTACGGACACGGAAGATCTGGAGTTCTGCAACAGGCCCTTCAACAAGGAACGGCTTAAGGAGCAGATAGAGGCTGGAGGCGGTGTTGTCTACAGGTAATATATGTAATAAAATATATATATACTATATTGGCCCTATGGTCGAAATTCGACCATAATTAATTTTATTTCGAACATTATTGAGGTTCTATTGTAAAAGGCTATATACATATGTTTATCGGACTGTGTGTAATATTTTTTGTATTAATTTAATGTATTTTTGCATAATTTTTGAAAATATTCCCTCCTTCTTTATACAATCTATAAGTTTTCATACTTGCATAGATCTCCGTCCGCGCAATATTCGTAAAAAGGGCTATACAGTTTTTGTTTCATTTCTTAATATAATCATGAATAAAATAGAAGTGTCTACTTATAATTTCAAATTCACAGCTTTTCACTAATTGCATTTAAAAGTATACACGTACACCAAAAATTAATTCGATGTACTCAGGCTAATAAATCGCCTGGACCGATTTCGACGGCACTTTCACTTGCAGACAGCTAATGTTATAAGGAGTAACTTAGACTACTTTTATTTTAGAGATATGATTTTTATAAAAAATAAAATCAACGCCATGTTATCCTGAAGAAATTTAATGAAAATCAAGATTTAAAAGAAATATTAATTATAATTTATTTTCTTAATCTAACAAGGGAAAATATTTCCAACAGCCATTTCGATGACGTGCCAAAAACGAAGTACAGCGTCTGCAAACTGATAGCACCGCGGCCGTGCACCACTGCCAAGTACATCCAATGTCTGAGTGTGGACATCAGGGCGGTGTCCCACGCATGGATCATATACAGCTGCATCAATAATAGGCTTATGGATATCGACTCTTACGTACTACCGGCCGGCTGGTCGCTTATCAAGAAAAAACACATCAATTGGGTATGTTACAATAATTTTATGTAATTAGAATATAGAATAGAATATAAGTGTATTGACTCGTTTTGACACAATAATGACAGTAAAATACAAGCAATAATTTACACGCATTAAAAACAGAGTAAATGTGGGCCACAACTCAACGTGATGCTGCAAACATAGTTTCCAGCGCTAATTAGACGATAGACGAGACCTAAATATTAGATATCAACACGCTTACTCTAAAGTGGATATAATTTCACCTATTTTCGATATATAAAGTAGCTGTTAAACACGCGTTATGAACGCAAATAGTGAAGTCATTCCACTCTATTTTCTATTTTTTTTTAATCAAATTTCGAACTGACTGCCGCGCGGCGTCTGCCAGTAGGCAGCGCTCATTTATAAAGTAAAATGGTGGGAAAGCCTGTAGCTTTCTCGCCGTTTTGTGCATCACAGTTTTATGATTGAGTTTATTTAAAACTAAGTGTATTGTAAGTCGCACGATATACGTATTTAACACTCGGCTCGAGCTGAAATTACGCCTCGTGTGTAATAACCATCATAACTTATCTCTTTTTTTTTTTGTTAATTCCGCTACCGTTAGCATGTGTGAGACCTCTAAACGAGGCGTCATCAGGCAATGAATAGAGTTGAGAAGCCTTAGTATTGACTGTTCGGCGACCACACTTCGGTCTAGTTATCTATACTGAATTCTTTTTTAAATTGAGGATTTCTCCAGTTTTGATGAATTTTTAAATACGCCTGCATTACATACAAGTGCTATTGTATATGCACACAGAATAAACATAGCTGTAGTAATATTAAATCATGTCAGATATCGATTTCTTCATTATATTAGTATATTGGTCGTTACCTTATTATTCTGATTTAGTAATGCAGTCAGTCCTAAGCCTGAGAAAAGTATGAAGGAAAGTTCAAGTCATTGATTTTTATTTAATTGTTAGGAACTACATTCAAATTAAATACATATTTCTAAAAATATAGTTAGGTGAATATAATTTAATTAGTTGTATATATGATGTTTTAAAACATCAAAAAAAATATATTATTATTTCTTTACATTTAACAATCAACTTATATATATATTTTTTCTTGTCAATTTAATTCCCATTCAATTGGGCTAGCAATGGCATATTTATGTTTATGTTTAAACCTACAAAAAAAAATATGATAATGGAATGGTGCACCCGCCTGCGCTAACGGTATAGCTGGCGGGGCACCAGTGGAGGATGATAAGATGAACATGAGGTCAGGTTAGATAGGCCATCGTGACAAATTCAACAGGAATTTAACATGATAGTTTCCAGAGCTAATCTGATATGGTAGATTGCTAGCAATGGGGTTATTTGTAGGTATTTACTAAGTCAATAATGACTAACAATATAGACATAAAATAAAATGAAATCGTAAATAAATAATTAATCAATTCCAGAATCCACCATCAGATAAACGAAATACAGCCATTTTCAAAGACAAAGTAATTCTCATATGCCACGATCAGGACAACTTCATGAAATTCTGGGACCGTGTGTGCACCCTAGCTGGGGCGACCACACGGGTTGTGAACGAGGAGAACTTAAACACAAACAGTGCGCACGCTCTAGTCACCGACTGGGACTGTCCACATGAAGTCCAGAATAAGGCTAACCAAGATTTGATCCCGCTAGTCTCGCCGCACTGGGTGAAGCAGTGCCTCATCGAAGGCAAGATCCTGCCCACTGACGGTCACGACAAGTTTTCGTTTATGTATACGGAGCCAGAATGATCCTGGGACTTCCGGAGGATCCTCATAATACGTGAATATTGACACTTTACGAGGACGGACGGGAGTGACGTTTTAGTGTTTAATAAGTGATGTGATAACAGACACGTGGTGTATCAAGGAATTATCGCCTTTGAGCGATTTTAATTTAGTGTCGAACACTGTGTAGTGTCTCCTTAGTGTTTCGAAATAGATATTTGAAATTGAACTCTGATGAACTCGTAATTAAGCTGTTGAATTGTGGAATATCTTGACTGAAATTTTTCAATGTATATTATATTTAGTATTTAATGTGTTGTTATTCAAGAAAATAAGCGTTAATTTACATTGGTTTATTAATAATTATTTGATTATTTAAATTATTTCTTTACATGAACATGCAATGTAATGATTATATTTTTTATTATTGTTTAATGTCATGTATTGTAATTTATTTAATGAAAAATGTGATTTACTACCTACACATTAAACTCTATTATAATTTGTGTATTGACATGAAAATATCTGAAATATTATTTCATTTTAATAAAAAAATAAGGCTATTCTGCCTTGTCGAATTCAGACTTTACAGTCAAATCTTCTATATGTTAGATTTGGCTGTATGGTCTTATACCTTTGCATTCCCACTTTTGGATAAAATATACTACTATTAATAAAATTCTTATTTTCTTGATTAGCCTGTGTAATTCCTGTACAACAGATATAAATTACAATTTCTATAAAATTAATGTTTATTAAATGTTAATAGATAATAATATTGATGTATCAAATTTAAGTAAAACCAAGGATATTATGATTGTATTAGTAGATTTTTTAATGTGAATGGTAAGTAGGCTGATTGTCCACTTTTTAATAATGGGAACTATCCAGCATATGAGATTTTCTCTATGAAAAGGGTTTTTTCAAGGGTATCTGAAGGTTTTTTAAGAGTTGCCAACTCGTGACACCTAAAGTGACATCAGGTGAGACGTATGCTTGTTAGCCAATATTGTGGTATTAAAGAATAGCGCTACAGATATGTCATCAGGTGATGCCTATGATTCTTAAGAACCAGTGTTATGTTTAACGTGACCATTTATTCTTTGGAACAAAAGTTATTCAGAAATAGTTAAATTCAAAGATTTATAATATGTAACAAATAAAACAATTTGCTTTAATATAGCTGGTGAAGTTTGGCTACTACTTAAATATTCGCACGTTACTAACAATGGTACAATATTGCGTCCCAGAGTTAATTTCGGGTACACTGGGACTCGTAATTATAAAAAGGACAGTTTCGTTCAAAATGGTATATCTGGTCACGTTAGTTATAACTATATATAACCCTACAATTTCAATTAATAACAATACAATCTAATAATTTTCTCGTTATTCCAAAACAATGCATTTGGCCTATAAATTGTGTTCAATTATTAGAGTTGTAAAAGAAATCAATCATAATTTTAAAAAATGATCTGAAAGTGATATCGTATATAAGTGATTTATTTCTCTGTGTAAGGAATTGTCTTAATAATTTAATGAGTTAATTCATACTAATATGATAATCGTTAACGTGTGTATACGTTGGACATCTTTCACGTCCGATTGGATCAAAATACGGCACTAAAATCACTATCGAAGCAATGGCAGACCCCTGTGATAGATCCCCCGTCCAATTCAATTGGGGATCGAAATTACGACGACCTGAGGTTCGGACATCTAGCGGTGCCCTCAGATTAGTCGTATCCGTCAGGCGGGAGTTGGCCTTCAGCCGCTCCATAAATCCTTCCAGCTGCCGCCAACAGCATTAGAGTAGTCGGAAAAAACAATGGCAGTAGTTACAAAGGTTTGTTAGCAGGCACATTACTTAAAATCACATAGATGGTTATGTTAATATAGTTAAATGTTTGAACAAGAATAATTTTGTGGTAAATAAAAGTATTTACCTCTCGGCGATTCGATTAGGTTGCACTAGCAGTGGTCACAAGTTGAATGGAGTAACAGCGGATATTGATAGGTGCCGGCAGTTTATTCAACTACCGTCATTTGATTGTCCGATGAAAAATCACGATACAGTACTCACTGTATCCGTACACATATTGACCGATGCTACCAAACTTTGAATTTATTAATCACTGTAATACACGCAGATGAAAACTTTAAACCAGCTTCCCTATTAAAATTGGGGTACTTCTATAGCCTCTACCTTATTTACTATAAAATGATGCGTGTTAAAACACTTTTAACTGTATTAATAACGTGTACTGAACGCGAAAGTTTAAAAATAATCATTTCTAAGGCTATTTATTCCCTCACACTTCTGTTAAAATTGGGGGTATTTCTATATTTATATAGTCTCTATTTACCTTATTTACTATAAAATTATTCGTATTAAAACCCGTTTAACTACATTAATAATGTGTATTGAATGCGAAGTTTTAAAAATAAACATTTGTAAGCCTATTCCCACACTTCTCCGATATTGCGCCTAATTTTAGTGCCGTGTGAGGATCATTTAAGGGTTTAATGGATCTTAATTTAATTTGACGTATGAGGGGGGGCGTGGACTTAATATGTATATATATGTAAGTTGTATGGCAAGCATACAGACATGTCTAGTTTGATAATTGACAATGTCTATGGCCAAATAAATGATGATAGTCAGATGGAACGGCTGTTATTTTTTCTATATTATGATAAAATCATGATTAATTTTTGTTGATGTTAATAATCGATCTTATTGTAAACGTAACTAAGTTCAAATTATTTTTGTTATAGTTGTTTTTGTGTTAAACGCATTTATTTGTTTCAGTGGTTGTTTACAGTTTTATACATTATATAAACGAGATGTTTACCGTGATTATTTGGTTTCTGAGTTTCTAATACTTATTGCATATGTAGTCTCTGATGTAATAATTTGTTCTATAGTTATAAAGCGGGTAGACGTATTTGTCTGTTCGTAATAATTTATATCCACCACAATTGTCCAGTCGTGATTAGGACGTTTCATACAGCGTTAAAATGGAGTAGCTCATACAATATAATTATGATAAATATTTCCTTTATATCTATGCATTTATCTATCATTAATTAACTATAACATCAATGTATGTTATTTTTTTAAACATACATAAACAAATAAACATTCGTCGGTCGCGGCCACTTGTTAATAGATATGAGTGTATTTAAACGCTATCTTAATTATTATATGAGTATTATGCTGTTATGGGCCCAGTTTCTATTTTTATTTTTCTATATATTGGAGAATAGATAATATTTGATGTCTAAATACCAAAAACTGATAATGTACATTTATATCATGAAAATTTCTCCGATGCAGTTTGGATTTTATATGAACGATTTATTAATATTCAAAGTATGCACTGAGAAATTTAAATTGGCATAATATGTTAATAAAAATAATCGTGTGTAGACTGCGAACTAGAAAAGAGTAATTTGTTCACAAATCCATCATTATTTAGTTCATTTTGAAAAGTGCTATTTGAATTTAAAATGTCAATATAAGTAATTTTTGTGATATAAAGGTACAGCCATGTCTTTTGTCATGTCCTATAGTGCGATATAGTTTCCACAGACCAAATATATATTAATTGCAAACCAGGAATCAATCATAGTGTACTATGCAGGCCTCTAAACCATTTGCAGCTAATGACTGTTGTTTTATTACAGTCACTTCCATAGGCAGCTGATGTACAGTCGGTTAGTCCTCAGGTTGATGCACTGTTTGCAATTGGATGGTGTAGCAATAAAAATGCCTTAATCGGAGTCCATTAGAACAACATCAATAGTTTTCCTGTAATCTGATGATTCATTAACTGTATATCAGCAGTCTAATAACCCTAAAATCATTACAGAGTTATTTTAGCATTGACTTTTTCTTTTATTAAGAGTATCTAAATAGTAAACATTAGTTATTTTTTTAGTATTGTTAATAGGGTTTGTCGCTACCAATACAACTTTATACCCAGTCATTTCTTATGTTGCTATCAATTTTATTGTGGTCTCATTTAGTTATAAGTATTTTGTATAAAACTGACGGCTAAAGCCAAGAACTAAATAGGTAAGTAATGTTTAAGGGTTTCGTTAAAAAGTTAATTATGTGTGTATTGGGTTTGACTAACGTACACATATACGTGCAGTATGACTAAGTTCGATTTAGAATTTATGTTATTAAAACCAATTTTATTATTATTTTGAATTTAGTTGGCTATTGGTTTAGAAATGTTTGCAGTAAAATAGTTATTTTGTGCAATTTGAGAATCAAACAGATATACAATAGTACAAAATAAACATCTTTTCTTTACAATATTTTCTACATTTCGGTTCGAGTATTAATTCTAATAATAGACTCTATACTATATTTGATATAATTCAGTTTTATGAACCGAAACTCGAATTGTTTTAAATTTCAATTTCTACTCACGCTTTTGCAATTTTTATTATACTTAATTATAACATCATATTTAAGTGAAGATGACAAGTTTGCATGTAAATAATGCATTTACTTTAATTATGTATTTGTCCCAAATCAATCTCAAATGTTGAAACCAAAATTTACATATAAAAAAAATATTTTCTATATTTAGGAACAACTGATAATTTATATGTATGTTATTATTATTCATCATTATATTTTAATGTTTTGGTATTATCATGTATTTTTTTTCATTAACTTTTAAGCAGTGGCGTTGAGGTTGCAGAAGGGCTACAGGAGGGCGGATAGCTAGCAACGTAACTTTTTTAAATCAAACTAGAAAATACATGAATATGCATTACTTTATTATTTAATAATAAAATTAAAGCTGATTTGATATGACATTTTTTTTTAATAATAATTAGAAGTCGACTAATTTCTGGTTGGCACCGGGCGAGCAACAGGTTATAAGCCACTGCTTCTATTGTCTATGATGCAAGTATTTGTTTTGCAGTATTCTTTTTTATTTACATTTTCACAAAGCGTATACTAAGTAGTGCTAAGTGTACTGTATTAATATTCTAATTGTATAACTAAAGTGTATATGTATATTTAGTCATATTTATCTATTTTATACATAGTTTAAGATTATGATCTCTGTACTAGGCAACTTTTGTATCTTGATTTTTCAAAATGACAATTACAATCATATCTTAAAGATGCAGGCGTGTTTTTGAAATTTACTGCATGGTGTTACAAACTAAATTAATGTATAATCTGTATTGTAAATATTAATTTTTATGTATACATTGGTAATTATAAAATTGTGTAAATTATCTAGTATTGTAATCATTATACAAATGTTGACTACACTATTTGATGAAACATTACTTTTACAAATAGTCTAATAATATGACAATTATTATTGTATATAACATGTGCTTAATATAATTAGATAATCATGCATAGTTTGTCATTTTAATGTAATTTTTTGTTGTGCAAATAGATTGAAAGTGACTTGTAAATCAGTATTCAAGAATTTGTTGTGTATAAATTAGGGTTTTTTTAATTACTGCTTAGGTATTCCAAAATTGAAGAAAGAGAGGTATAGAGGTTGCGCTTCTATCCCTTCCTCACTTTTTCTCGCGTCGTAATGGGGGCTTCTAATCCTTTTTGATATTATTTAGTCGACATTTAAAAACAAACCTAATAGTTGCCTTTATATGGACTGTTTTTACGCGCGAATAAGCTTTCACGCAGGAAAGAATGTGCATGTTAAAGTAGACACAGAGAATGAGAAAGACCGCGCGCGCCGCCTGCACGCACTTTTCAGCGTCATTCAATGGTGCGTGCTTTAGCGCCATTTTATAATAATTTATTAATCATTGCAAAATGTCGGACATTTTGAGCAAAGACAGAGTTAGTGATAATTTATACATTTTAAACATGTCTTTGAAAAATTAACTCTGTATTAAACAAAATGTTAAATGATATGAAACATACACAATCAGGCGCGAAAGAGTGAGATAAAGAATAGAGAAAAATAATCACTCGGGATTACGCGCGTGCTCTAAATGACGTGCAAAATGACGAGAGAACTTGACCACGATTGAAAAACAGTCGTATAAAGGCAACTTATAGAAGGCTACATTAATCGGTGCAGGTTAATTTAATCGCTAGAGAATTATACATCAAGTGTCGTAATGTGAAATGTTAACTTTGCTATACTATATAGGACTACGGACTGCTATTTATTTTTCTTAAGCCCCCAATAGCTACTTTATTTCCGTCGTTGAATGATATGATATGAACATGGATATTACATTTGTGGCGACATATTTCATGTATTGTTTTTGTTGCTCTAGATATATTCGTTGTAATTGAGTCAAGTAGAAATGTAATGTGTATAAATAAAATGATGGAAATAATTGTTGAATTTTTTTCTTACCAAGGAGACTCGATAAATTCGTTTGCATCATTGTAAGTTTTGTTTCAGCCCGTAAGCAAGTTTTTTTGTTTTACGTTTGTGTTGGAAATGTGATTTGGCGGTGGATTTTAGTATAAGATACGTAGGTATACCTTTGTACGGCTACGCATTGAAGGTATCAATTGAGGATAACAGAATGAGCATAAAGTCAGATCCAATAATAGTGAACTCATCAGGAATCAACGTGATTGTTTCCAGGGTGTACGGTATCGAAATTGAGATAGCACCACTAGTCCTCATTAGAAAAAAATCCCTACCCTTATGGCTACTGTATGAATGCTGAGTACCGATTTTCTTTATTCTTTATCTATATTTTAACTTAACTTTTAGAAGAAATAGGGCACAGAACAAGAATATACAGAGATCGTATAGGGGCGCATACCAATATCCTTGCAACAGCACTATAAGACCCATTGCAATGCAGAAGGCTTAAGAGACTCCATGCATGGGATCTTCTTCACCGATGAGACAGTTTCCTCACTGGAGGTATAGTTCTCTCCCGTCAACAATTCCACAACCAATCTGTTAAAGGCTTGGTGAGCCGATTGCAGGTTAAAAAGAATGAAAAAAAAAATTTAACGTAGTAATTATAATTTCTAATTAAATAAAGAAAGTTGTGTGACCTGTAGACACTATTTCTTTATAAAAGGGCCCTACTTGTTTATCATTCTTCTTACATTAAAAATATGTAATTATTAATGTATATTAAATATTTATACATACACCCTTACCAACTTTTGCCTCTGTAATATAATTAAGAATATATAATATTAGGTAAGACAGAAGTTGAATTTAATATTCATTGAAAAAGCACAGTAAATTCTGCTGTTATAAAATTGGGCACAGAGCCATCTATCGGACTATACGTACACTATATCAATTAGAATTTTTGTGGACACAGATAAACGAGAAATAGTAATAAAATAACACGATAGATGGCACAACGTGTATTGAATCTGGTTATTACATTTTTTAAATACGTTTTTGATAACGATTAATAAGGTTAATATGAAAAGACCAAGAGACGCGAAGTTAAAATTACCCTTTTACTTCATATTTAAGTAATTACTGATCTATTGACCTACTTGTCTCATGATATTGTTTAAATTAGATAAACATGATTTGTTACTGGTCACTTATTATCATTATTCTATAGATAACAAACTGATTAAAAAATTAACAGTCTAACATTAAAATTTGCAAAGTAATTGTCTAATTTAAAAAACTATCATACCTACATATATGCCTATTATAGTAGGAATTATAGTAAGCAGTTAGTATCTACCTCCGTTTATAATAGAATATAAGAACACTTACCAGAATACAGATGTTCCTTTCATAGGAAGGTATCTATAGTACATGTAAGTACTACTTACCGACTATAAAAGTCGAGTCATATGGTTTAGAATAGTAATAATGCATGAAAATATAATGTCTGGACGAAATGAAAAAATTACAAAAAAATAGCTTAATCAAAGAAATTGCTTATTGTTACTACAAATCAATCCTGCCCTTTGATGACGAACATTTCAAAATGAAACTATGCAACCAAACAAACTGCTTAAAATGCAATGATAATAAAGCGTTTGCACAGTTTCATACAAAATTTATTTTAAGTAACGCTGGCCTGCGTATTGCGTGGCTGTATGATTGTTATGCATTAGCTCATTGGGTATTATTAAAAAAATATTCTCATTGTATTCGAAATTCAAATATTGGAAAAATTCAAATCAAGCAGCTAATTAACAAACAATGGCTGCCAAAATGCTAATTGCATATAAAAATACGTAAACGTCGTAATATTTATCGTTCAACAATACATTCACTGAATGTATGACCTGGGGGTGAACGATAGGAACGTCGACGGGATACAAAAGTGTATCATTTAACCCTAGGCCAATAACATAGGGCCAGGTTTAAAGGTTACCTATATAAAAGCAACACTATAATTATAAGTAAAGCCAGTTTCGTATTTATTACCAGAATGTTCGGTCGTTCAAGGTTTTGCTCGAAAGTGATCGTTTGTACTCCGATGATGATGGATTGCAGTGATTTCTACAGGAGAGACTAATCATGAGTGATTACAGATTCACAGGATGATATTAGGAATTAGTGGCTGCATTGTACCCAGTGGACCTCCTCGCGGTCGCCTCTGAAATTCATGAGCGTGAATTCACCTTGATAGGCTAACTGACCTGACTTCACGCTCATCTTGTCATCCTCTACTAGTGTTGCACCGCTAGTGGACGGGGGCACTATTTCATTATCTCCCCTAAAAAATATCAAAAGAGAGGTTCACTTCATTTTACATTTAAATGCCTATACATGTCTTAGTCTAAAGGCTGGTATATAATAATATATTATATCAGGACTAATACACAGAATCATGTATTAGTCACGTACTGTACTAGACAGCTAATATAACATCACGTGTGAGGAATCGAACCCACGGCCATGACAAGGAAGGCGGTATGCTAAACTGCTAAACCACCGAGGCTAACTATTGCGATTAATGACAAAATAAATAAAATCAATCATGAGTTTCTTGCCTGTTCTTCTCAATTGAATATGTCTAAGTACTGAACTGAACGGTAGGGAAGAAATGAAAATACAAGAAATTTTAGGTTCATAAGCGATTAAAATGTCCTACATGAATAAATGATTTTTATTTGATTTGATTTGACTACGGCATTTACACCGGCCCTAGCCGAAGCTCGAACCCCTAGCGGTGTCCTCAGTATACAGGTACTCGTATCCGTCAGGCGGGAGTTGGCCTTCAGCCGCTCCATAAGTCCTCCGCGGATTTGGAGTGCCATCTGCACTCGCCCCCTATCGTCCGGTGAAGCTGTAGAGATCAGCTACAACCAACAGCATTAGAATAGTGAAAAACAATATAGTTACCTATAACATACGAAATATCAAATACCTACTTCAATAAAGTTTATCTATATTTTTAAATAGCCTATTAAACTTGTCAGTCATGTCTGATGAAATATTGAAGTAGGAGACGTTATAATAACAAATATGTACGTAATTGGTTAAATAACTACTTACTACAATGTATCAACTACTTTGGTAGAATTCCACTAATAAGCCTGTAATAATTATATAAACATCTATAATAAACTTTATCTAATAAGTGTCATTTTGCGGAAGTCCATTATATTACTTAATAATATTGTTATGTTTAATTCCGTTATAATTAGCAAGTGGAAGCGTCAAGATCTTCCCTATTAGTGGTCAAAATAAATATTGTGACTGGACCAAGATGAAAACAATATTAAAAAAAAAAACAGAAATAGTTTATATGTAGATATCGCACCTCTAGATCTAAACAGGTATTAACTCAAAAAAACTCATTTTACAGGAAAGGCAAAAAACTGATTGCCAAGTCCCTGTGCTTTGCAGAAGTTTTTTTGTATAGATGTATGAACGTTAGTTACAGTTGGATATGATAAATATCAAGATTCTTGGATTTTAATAAAGGGTTGCATCTTAATATTGAATTTTTATAGTTGTCTCCTTATAGCATATCAATGAGTGTATATTTTTTGTACTATTTTAGTTAACCCCATATTTTGAATTTCGTTTTTAGTTGGCTCCCTTTTGTAGGTGCAACTTGTGCACAAAATATTATAGTATTTAATATTATTTATAATAAATACAACTCATAGAGTTATATGTGACCTGCAGTAGGGGTATATTGGCTCATGATTTAGCAATAATTTAGCAGTAATGAAAAATCAATCGATTAGGTCCAAACATATGAACCTTATTACCAGTACTTTGAGATTATATTGTAATCTCAAAGAACTGGTAATAAAATAAAAAAGTTAGAAATGACATATAAGACCCCTTCTTATATGTCATTTCTAACTTTTCAAAATAATATAACTATTTTAACGCTATCGACCGAAGCTAGCCTTTACAACTTCACTGAACGATAGGGGGCGAGTGCAGATGGCACTGCAAACCCGCGGAAGGACTTATGGAGCGGCTGAAGGCTAACTCCTGCCTGACAGATACGACTTTAGTCTGAGGGCACCTGCATGGGTTCGAACCTCGGCTCAGGCCGTCGTAATTTCAATCCTCGTTTGAATTGATCGGAAATGGATTAGAGAGGGACAAGGAATGCGCAAATTGTCAGCAAAAAATACCATATATATTTTAGTTGTGATGAGTCTGTGTTCCGAATGAGTGGTAAAATAAAAATATGACTAAGTATTCAAAATTTAATTTAATTAAGATAAATAATCTTAATTAAATAACATTTTTTATGGACGATTATGGAATGATGCCCTACCTTAACAGTCTACGCTGGCGGAACACCAGTGAGGGATGATAGAAAGAACATCAGGTCAGGTCAGTTACCCTATCCAGGTATGCAGGTGGTTTCTAGGAACACAATGGTTTCCAGATCCAGCAGCCAGCCAGACCAGCTAAGATATGGTCATCAGTCCAAATCCCTAACAATCCCCTTTCCCCTACTATACCTACATATATAATTCTTCTTAAATGTATAGGCTCTTACAATAATAATGTACTGTTTATAAAGTTATTCAACCATATTATTACTGTAGCAAAGGACAGTAGATAATATTAATGAACGTTATAAATGGTGGGCTGTTTACGTCTTCTTATCTTTACTGATAACGCGAGTAGGTACCTACACTTTAAGATCATACACGTAAGGCGAGTTGAATTTATATGGTAAAACTATTTATATGAATATTCTTTAAGAATAATGTTTACACGCAATACATTTATTTTATATATTTATTACTAGCTGTAACTGCGACTTCGTCCGCCTGGAATATAACTTTATTTTTCTAAAATAAAAGTAGCCTAAGTTACTCCTTATTACGTCAGCTACCTGCAAAAAAAGTCCCGTCAAAATCGGTCCGGCCATTTCAGATATTAGCTGGAACAAAC